TGTCTCTCTCTCTCCCCCCTCTCTCTCTCCCTCCTCTCTCCCCCCCACCCTCCCTTCCACTCTATCTAAAAAAACCAATGGAATAATATCCTTGGGTGAGGATTAACAACAACAACAACAACAAAACCAACAACAACGAACAGCCCAAGAGTATCAAAATAATATTTGAGGAAAACATCTCTAAGGTTTTTACCCCTTCCAAAAAGGAAACAAACAGACTCTACAGGAGAAGAAAGCTTAAAAAAAATCAATATCCTCAAAGATAATAAGAGAATATATTATATTCATGGAACAATAATAGTATATTATAAAAAGAACAGTCAAAAGTAAGAAACTGCTTTCCATATTAAATATAGGTTAATAACACAAAAATGGATTCAAAAATACAATTGAAGAAACTTCCCAGAAATGAAAAAGCTACATTTTATCAGTATTTCTGAGCAGGAAGTGCAATACCAAAGTACCAGGAATTCTAGAATTCCTGTATTTAATATGGGTTACTGGCTTCTGGGTTATCTGACTCCTAAGCACTGTCTGGGCTTTGACCTTGGCTTGGTATTTGACCGCTGGCTTTTTCCTTTGCCCTAGTCCTCTGTCCAACCAGAGCATACAAGTCACTGGCAGTTTTTCCTTCTTCTTCCTGGTGCCCAACCTTGCATCTTCCATAAAATAGCCTCAGCTGACTGTGCCATCCATCACGCAGACCGCAGTACCTCCTGCTAGCGCCTGCATCGGTGCCCTTCTACTCCTTCCATCCAGAGAAGTATTTCATCTAAAAATGCCAGTTAAAAATGTATCCATTTTCCAAAGACCAATGTACTGCTACTTCCTATAAGGTCTTTGAAGAAATGTTTTCTCATATCCTCTGTAACCTCATGATTCTGTGCTCTGTGGACCTGACCTGTCCGGAGACCATCATTATACTCTGTTTTTTGGCTTTATTTTTAATTTACGAAATGGAAGAACACAAAAGACAGGGAACACACACATCTCACTAATCTGTGTATTTCTCCATAAATTCTTATATCAGTATATATTCAAACTGCTGAATCAGCATCATGTGTTCAGCTTCTGTTGTCCCACGCTCACATAACCACAATGAAAAAATTAATGATTTTTAAAAAAAAGAATTTAGCTGAGTAAGTAATAAAGTCCTAAAACAACTTGTCAAGTAAAATATGAGTTCCTCACGATATAGTGCAGTATTTATAAATATGCTCAGTGTGTCTTGCTGAGCCCACAAACATCTTTAGAAAACAGCAAGTTAAAGTTAAAAAGTGTTTCCTTATTGCAGATATTCTTGGATATTTTGATACATGCATCTCCCATAAAGGGGTACAGACATTGCACCATGTTCTTTTTTTCTTTACAGCAACTCACAGGATTCTTCCTCCAAGTTACATATTTGGAAAATGCTAGAATACATTATATCCAGTTTTGCCCTGGACAGTGTTGCTCAGTGGTTAGAGCATCAACCCTTGCACCAAAGGGTCTCAGGTTCAATTCCCAGTCAAGGGCATGTACCTGGGTTGCAGGTTCGATCCCCAGCCCTGGTCAGGACACATGAAGGAGGCAACCAATCAATGTGTCTCCCTCACATCTATGCTTCCTCCCCACCCCCACTTCGTTCCCTCCCTTCCACTCTCTCTGAAAAAGCAATGGAAAAAATACCCTCGAGTAAGGATTAAAAAAAAAAAAAAAATCACAGCCAATCTTTCATATTTGCATCTATTTAGATTTGCTAAAACACTTGAGCTTATTAGTTGCAGCTTGAAAATGGGCGGGGCACAGATTTGGTTTTTATCCTCAAAACACAGTTTTTCATTTGCTTGCCATTTTTGAAACACTAATAACAGACCCAAGTTCAACATGTTATCAAGTTTCTTGCATACAGTTTTGTAAGCCAATAGTATCAAGTTATATTATAATTAGATCATTCAACTATTTAAATATATTTCATACTTTAAGCTCAACTGGAAATATTTCAGTATTTCTTTAGTTGCATAATGTTTCAGAATTATTTTCTTACTAAATATTTAATGGTTTTTACATACTGTTCATTAATTCAGAACTGGCATTTCCATTTCAAAGCAAATAGATACTCAATCATGTGAAATAAATCCAGATTATGACGTTGATTATTTTGTTTAATGTCACTCATGACTGAGAACAGTTTCAAACAATATTTGGAGAAGGATAACTGAGTGTAGCTATTTGTTTTTAAACTGTGTTTTGACAACACATGTAAGTGTCTCTAAGGAGGAAACAGAATTATAACAACACTGAAAGGCCGCTGACTGGTAACTATATACCCGCATCATCAACGGTACCTGCAGATTTTCAGTCGTGTCCAGAGTTCAATCTTAAATAACAATAACCAGAAGTTTTAGAAAATTTTAAAGAAAAAAAATATGTCTAATGCTAGGTTATTTTTATAAATTCATTCAACAATAAATATTGTTGGGAATCTACCGTGTTCCAGGCAACATTCTAGCTGCTGGGGATACCGCAGTCAACAAGAGCCAATAAAAGACACTGTCCCCACAGAGCATATATAAAATAAATAAATCATCTAGTATAGAGCACCACAGAGAAAACTATAGTAACTAAGGGAGTAATGAGGTGGGGAGGGAGGAGCGGTGATCATTTTAAACTCTGTGTTCAGGGCCTCAAAGCAAAGGAGACATTACAGCGAGAAGCTGAGGAAGGGAGGGTATAAGCCCTGTTGCCCTCTGGGTAAGCCCATTCCAGGCAGAAAGGACAAGTGCAAAGGTCCATGAGAAGGACTCCTGCTTCTTATTACTTCTATATTTAACAGAGTAATAGAAAATGCTTTCCCTATTTTGTGATCTATCAGGTTACAGTTCTCTGTCTGGGGCCCAGGGGAGATGAAGGAAGCTGGTGCAAGATTTTAGCCAAACATACAATCTGTGTTGTGCCTCTATGCCCTGAAGGTCAAATCTAGCCCACTGTCTGTGTTTATAAATAAAGTTTTATTGAAACAGCCTCGTTCAGTGGCTTCCTATTCTCTATGGCAGCTTTCATGCTACAACTGCTGAGCTGCTGATATCCCATAAATATATGGCTGTGAAGATTAAAATATGCACAATCTGACCATTTATGGAAAAAGTTTGCTAAAACCTTCTCTTGGAATTCAGAATGTCATCTAAATCAATGTTACCTGCACCAGAGACATGTGACCATGAGTTAACCACCTCAGTAACCTCTGCAGAGGGAATGGCAGGCACCCTTTGTCTAACTAATCTCAAACACCCTCATGATGGCCAGAGTCTAATTAGGAAAAGGAAAAAATTCAAATTCTAATTCTGGTCTAATAAATACATGTTTCTTGGCCAGTTACACATATTTCTTTCCAGTCATAGCAATGTAATCATGGAGAAAATCTTTTTTAAATTTCTCGGTGATAGAACAAGCTCCTTTGTTTACTTTCCTATGTCCATTCCTCCTGGTATTCAGAAGAAAGAAAAATTAAGCCAGAAAACTCAAGTACTTCCCCTACAATAGAAAAATATAAATCTAAAAAACTTACAGCAGGTGCAGAATAGAAAGACGGAAGAGTCAGAGTTCTGACCAAGAGAAAGGAGCAAATGTCCCAACAGTCCCAGAGGTGGCCAGTAATGGTGAAGCTTTCTCAGTGTGCCTGGAGCATAAACATACCAACCCTGTAAAGAGCAAGGTGCCACCAGAGAGTACCGGGAAGCCACAGCTGCTGCGGGCTCTGTACCCAGCCTGCGAAATCTCACAGTGACATTTTGAGAGAGCACTCAGATCTCCCTAAACACTTGATTTTACAGAAACGAAAGGTTTGGGAATATTCTAGCTCACTGTCTCATCCCACCAATGTGTATATTTGAGTGCTGACTCATACATTTGCTATTTACCAATAACACTGATGACTGATGAAAAGCAGACAGAGCTGACTACTTTATCATCCTAATGTAACCAACAAAGGTGAGATAAAGTAACTGATAACTAAGAAGAACTGGGCTTCGGTTTACTCAACATCTGATTTGTTAAAAGAATATAATCGTATGAAATATGAACCACATGAGTAAAAGCCATTAAATTGTTGGTGATTTTTGGTTTTCTTAAGATATGCAATTCCTGCTCCCAGATACTTCTTCTGGTAATTATTTGCAGATAAAATGTATTTTTAGGTCAAACCAAGGCCTTCTAGAAACTATGTACATTTGGGGGGCAAAAGGAGACAAAACCAGCACATTGTAGGGATCCACCACCTTAATTACTGAAACAGGAGAGAGTCAACCTCAAAATAACATAATAATTCATGAGGAACATTTCAAATAAATATTGTGGAAAGATATCCAAAAACCAAGAGGCCATGAAACAATTCTAATTAAACATAATCCCTCCCCAAAGATTTCTCAGTGCTATAAAATGCTTAAGGGACAGAAGTTTCTTTGTAAACAGAAATGATAAGTCTGTTTTAAAAGTATAATATTCAAGGGACTATGACCTTCTGTGCAATATACAAAAATCAAAACAATATATCAATAACAGTGAAGCCTGAAATCTAACAATGACATGCTTTCCCTTAACTACAATAAGCCTTGTATTCTCAAACAGAACACTGTTATGAGATGAGCAAAAGCCAAACAGTGTGGGCTGAGGAATACTAACTCAATCTGTGTTGTTTTTCTTTGCTACAAATTGGGACACAGGATGGCAAATTTTGGTGCAAAGTTAGAAACTCACCTAAGGCTCTAGAGGTGATCCTAATTTCCAGTTTTAATCTGCTATTCAGCACCTTAATCCAGTGTTCCATGTAGCACATTCCACATGTTCCTCTACATCTAAGCAACAGCATTTGCAAAAACATGTTGAAAGCCCTGAAAAACTGTATCTGTGTGCACGGAGGGAAGGGAGCAGGGAGTAGCAGCAACCCAGCAGGTTTAGAAATGGACAAACTTGAATTTTTGAAAATATGCTACTTATGAAAAGAAATGAATAATACATACCCTTGAGGGGAGAGTTTGTCTAGCCATCCCGCCTTAACATTCTTCGAAGAGGATCCATAAAAACAAGCATAAGGAGATATTGCATCTGAGGACAGGACTGATGAATCAGCATTTCCACTTGTTGAGCTTAATGGATAACTGTGCCTACTAACAGGGTCCATGGTGAATGCCTTTTGAGTCCTAGATTTAGATGCCTTTGAATTTTTTCTTCTTAAACTCTGAAAGCATTCTTCTACCGTTGAATATTCTGAATCTGAAGCACACTCTGTCGGAAAACTGTTTTTGTCCTCTCGAGGTATCCAAATATCTTCCACTTTGTCTTCGCTTACATTCTCCTTCCTGGTGTCACATATGCTAAACAGAAAACAATAGTGTACACATCGCAAAGTGCTACATGTCATTTAAGCCACACGTTATTTTTTAAATTTATAAACAACCCATCGCAGAAATTTAAGACCAGGAAAATCTTAGAATTCAATTAATCCATCTGATAATTTTTAAAACCTTTCCAAAAAAAAAATTAAATACAAATCTCTCGTTATCCTAAGACATATCTGAACACTACTAGAAGTAGTATACTTTTTTCTTACGTATCGTTTAATCCTATCTGTTTATTTGGGGAGTTGGGCACAAGTTGTAAGGACACAGATGGACTGTATTCTTTGCATCACAGTTTAAACATCTTCACCAGGACCATTAAGTGGTTAGCCCAATCTCTAGTCCCTGGGCAAGAACATGAATGACTAACTTATCTTTTTGGAGATCTTTCTTCTAAACTTGCTGACTTTTTTTTTGATTCTTCATTAATAAACTTCCAGGACTCTACTTTCCATCACAATGTAACAGAACAGGGAGTATGTCTGACTGATGAAAGCTTTAGTGTTACTTTGCAACACTAATGAGGAAGAACCACACCACATTGCTAGCGAGAACATGGGAAAGGGTCAGGTTACACTAAGAAGTAAGAGCTGTGTAGCATATAATATTTACTGGAACACATTCATAATAGCTAAGTATACTGCTATAAATTTAAGGAATGACAAAACAGAATCACTGAGTAATTTATGTATAATAAAACTCATTACAAAGAAGGTTTATTTCTAATCAACAAAACATGCTTAGGGGTCCAATTATATCCTAGATAACAGTGTTCTAAAACCCGTACTTCCTTAAAGAATGATTTAGCCTGGCCCCTTCCATATTTTGCACTATAACAGGTTCATAGCAAATGCCTGCTGAAGATATACAATAAGTATTTTAGTATCTTCCTAATATTTTAATATTTTCCTTAACTTTAATTTCAACTTCAGGAAACCCACAACAGTGTTAGCCTTGGGGAGGAAATGGATAAAATAGAAGAGAAAACAAATGTTAAGTAATGAACCAGTATACCAAGTCCTAATAAAGCTGAGAGAAAAATAAAATTTAGCTGGAGCCCTGGAAATTGTTTAATTTCATGTGCGATCCAAAGAAGTGGATAATTGTCAAGCCACTTGTCAGTGCAGAATGTATCCAACAAAAAGGGTACAAAGTTACATTTGTAAAAACGCTGCACTCACAGTGACATCTTTTTGCACTGTGGCTTCCTCCCCTTTCTCCTTCATATTATAACTTCTAATCCTTAAATTTCTATCACAGTCACCACACATTTGCCACTTTGGAGAGGAAAGGGTAGTTTCAATTAGAGAAAGACCAAAATAATCTGCTACAGAACATACTTGATTTATAGACTCTAAATTTAATTGTTAAAATGAGTTCTGTTATCGACACCTTTAAAAAGAAAAGCTTTGAACTTACCAATGTAAACTATCTTCTTAGAAACACATGAGCAAGAAGTAAACACTGTATAACATTTTATTCAAAAGAATTAATCATCATCAGTCATGACTTCATACCTTGATTTGACAAAAAGAGAGTTTCTTTCAGTAGTTGCTTCTCCTTTGAGTGTTTCGTGATGGGTCCAAAATTCATTCCTTACAGACTTCTTCTATTAAAAAAATATATATACACTTTTTTTAGGGTTTCAATATTCTACAGAGATCCACAATATCTGGGTTTAGTTTTATTAACCAAATGTCTAATTGCTTAGATCAGTTTTCAGTAAAAACAACTTAATTAGGGAGACTACATTAAACTGTAGCCTTTGGATGCCTTTCTCAATATTTAACTTCAATCATCAATAACTCATCATTTCAACTGAGAAAAACAGAATATGCTAACCAAGAAAAAATTTATTTACTTTTACCTTCCCAATATTTTTTGTCTTCCAACTTCTCTTTTATCATCACCAAGAAATAAAATAGCAAAAGAGCATAAGTACTGAAGAGAAAAGACTAAGTGATACACTGAATAATTAACATATGTAACTAGTCAGAAGTCTGAATTTGGGTATAACGCAAAGCTAAATCTGGGGGAAGGTTGTTTGCTTTTCCTTCTTATGTTCTTTTTCTGTCTTTTTTTTTTTTTAAGTAACTTCTCTTGCAGAAAACTATAAAAACCCACTGACCCTTATTTCTAAAATCAATCTGAAAATGTGTTTTTGTGATATATATTTGAAGATAAAAATTTATCATTATTTTACTGAAGAGAATTTTACTGGTTGAAAATTTCATTTTTTAATATAACACATTCTTCAAAAAACTTACAGGAAAATGAGGCATAAAATATAGGCAGAAGAGCAAACAATATGGAAAAAAGTTAAACGAACCCTGGTAGTTTCTGGTCTCTGGAAGAGAAGGGTCTCTCCATAAGGCAGGATGGAAGATGAATTCTCCTCATTTGAATCTGTCGGGGGGATTACAGGATAAGTGAGAATGAAAAGATATGAATAATGTGAAATACTATTTTTAAAAAGACATGTGTTTATTTTAAAGTAATATTACAAATATAGCTTTATTTTCTGAGGATCCAAAATTATGCTCATAATTCTTAACCCTAACTAAACTTACCCCATGGCCTTCCTGATGCAGCACTCACAGTCTACACTCCTCACTTTGCAACATGACATATTTTTTAGTATTTCTTCAGCTATATATGTCCTTGCTAGCCTCTAAGATCTACATTAATATAACCAAGCATATTTCCCACTGTATACAATGAAAATGGTTACAATGTCACTTTTTTTCTTTATTTTATTTTTTATTTTTTCCATCATCATTTATCCCCCCTATACTATCTCCCACCTTCACCCACCCCCTTACCCCCACCCACAGTCATGGTGCCATTTTTAATGTTAATTCCTAAATAAAAGAATAGTGTTAACAGAAAATTAATCTTAATTCTATCATAATTTTCAATAAGTAATTACTAAACATTCACTAACATAACCACTAGATGTTATATCACTCAAAATGTCAGAATACACTTAAAAAATCCCTCTGTTTCCATAGCTACTAACATATTTGTAAATAAATTTTTTTCAAAAGACTGTCCACCATCTCTGAATTATACCAATCTACAAGAAAGAATTCTCAACACTTGCATTTTCTGATATGGCAAAACAATTTTTAAAGGTTCAGTAGCCAAGTGTTTGTCGTCTTATTGTTGAGAAGAATGTTCCTGAATCTATAGAAGCAGAATTTTCAAAAAGGAAGAAAAGCCTCTGTCAATGATCAATTTACCAGAGCAATATCAGCCCTTTCCTGTTACCATGGCAAAATTACTTTCCATAAATCTATGTTCTGGAGCTCAGACTGTCAGAAACCACTTAATTCAGTTAAATGCCTTCAACTGTGGCTAATGATAAATGAAGCCTGTACAGAAAAATCCTTTTACGTTACCATGTGCAAATTTCTAGGAGTGTGCGTGTGTATACATTACTGTCTTTTATTCATTCACCTTTAGAAGTGTCTGAAGTACTGTGAACCCTAGCAGACAGTATTCCCATTAGTCCCCATTCCCCAGGTGGGCTGCCTTCTCCGTTACGATTTAAACACACAAGACCATCAAATGAGTGCTAATAATTTACAGAGACTCGAAGTGCTAAGACTTACTTTTCTGTGTCACAGATTTTCCAGTTGAGGTAGCAACGTTTTTTCTCTCTCGAAAATGGCTTCAAGCAAAGGGGAAAACAGATACGTAAAAATAGATAAGTTACTATCTTGAGTAAAGAATTAATTATAGAGACATACATTCTTTTAGGTAGAAAAACCAATATTCAAAAATAAGTTTGATTTTAAATAAACAGAATGGCTAAATTCCACAAATGTGTTTTCTGAATAGCATAAGGGAAGAGATTTCCAAGCATCTCATAAGTGTTCGCTTCTCATACTTATAATTCTCAAGAGAACATATTTGCCCAATGCTAGTATGAACATAAAGCAATTTTAAAAACCCTATACATACACATCTGAGAAACAAATTTTCGACCTAGATTTCAGTATGTATGTAGTGCTTTTGTTAACAGCTTTATAATATGGAATAAAAAGCTGGCCTGTCTTTATGAGCACAATATCAAAATACACAAGACTTTTCCTCAAAGATCTGGGAGTCTTGAGGCAGAGACATGACAAGTAATTAATGAGAACACAATCTAACAGCAGTGACAGAGGAAAACGCTGTGAGCAGAGGGTACCGAGTACCTACCACTGGATGAAAGAGTTCTACCTACTTTTCCATCTAAGTGTAAGGATCTGGACACTGTCCTTAGACACTTATCTGTCCAAGTAACTACAAGCAAGTAAATTAAAAAAAACAGAAATCAACAAAATAGAATATGAACAAAATTTAAAAGTCACTACAACCAAAAGCTAGTTCTTTGCAAAGATCAGTAAAATTGATCAACTTCAGGAAAGGGAAATAAAAGAGAGACAGAGACATAAATTACTAACATCTGGAATGAAAGAGGACATCACTACAAATCCTATGAACATGAAAGGGATAACCACAGATTACTAAGAAAAATTTTATGCCAATAAATTCAACAACTGAGATAAAATGAAAAAAATTCCTTAAGAGATACCAATTACCAAATATGACACAAGAATAAATAAAAAATCTATTATATCCCTGGCCAGTTTGGCTCAGAGGTTAGAGCGTCGGCCTGTGGTCCAGAGAGACCCGGTTCGGTTCCCGCTAAGGGCACGTACCTCGGTTGCAGTTTGTCCCCAGCCCTGGTTGGGTCGCGTGGGTGGCAACCACTCGATGTGTCCCTTTCACGTCGATGTTTCTCTCTCTCTCTCTCTCTCTCTCTCTCTCTCTCTCTCTCTCTCTCTTTCTCTCCCCCTCCTTCCCTCCCTTCCTCCCTCCCTCCCACTCTATCTGAACAAAATATGGAAAAATGTCCTCGGGTGAGGATAAAAAAAAAATCTATTATAGCTAATAGATATAATCCCTATATCTATTAGCAGAACCAAATTTAGTAATTAATCACCTATTCACAAAGAACTCTATGCCCGGATACTTCATTGGTGAATTCACTAACCATTTAAGAAAAAATGACACCAATTCTACACAAACTTTTCAAAAATGGGAGGAAGGAGTACTTCCCAACTCATTCTTAAGCCCAGTATTACTGATACTAAAATGAGTCAAAAACAAAACTACAGATAAATAGTCCTCTTGAACATGGATGCAAAAACCATTAAGAAAATGTCAGCAAATCAGATCCAACAATTTATAAAAAGGATAGCCCCAACCAAGGGCCTTAGTTAGTTAGAGTGTCATCCCATACAGCAGAAAGGTTGAGGGTTCAATTCCTGATCAGGGCATATTCCCATGTTGCAGTTTGATGCCCAATAGGGGCACATACAGGAGGCAACCAATCGATATTTCTTTCTCTTTCTCTCTCTCCCTCTCTTTCCTTCTCTCTCTAAAGTCAATAAACATATCCTTGGGTGAAGATTAATAAAAAATAAAAAGGATAATATGACCACGTGAGTTACCCCAGGAAAGCAAAATTGGTTTAACATGAAAAAATCAATATAAGTCACCAAATAAAAATAAATAAATAAGGGAAACAAATCATATGCTCATGATAATATATCCAGGGGGAAAAAAAAGACAAATTTCAACATCCATTCATGGAAAAGACTCTCAGCAAATTAGAAATAGAAGAAAATTTCTGCAACCTAATAAAGGGCATTAATAGAAAACCTACATCATAATTAATGGTTAAAGTCTGATGTCCTCACATAAGATTGGGAGTAAGGCAAGAAGGTATGCTCTCTCTACCTATATTCACATTATTTCAGAGGTCCAAAACCGTACAATAAAACAAGAGAAAGAAATAAAAGGCATGCAGATTAGAAAGTATCTTTTTTGAAGATTGTTTTTAAAGATTTTTTTTTAGAGAGAGAGGAAGGGAGAGAGAAACATCAGTGTGAGAGAGAAATATCCATCAGCTGCCTCCTGCACGCTCCCTACTGGGGACTGAGCCTGCAACCCAGACGTGCCCTGACGGAGAACTGAACTGGGACCTCTCAGTCCATGGGCCAATGCTCATCCACTGAGCCACAGTGGCTGGGTTGGAAGGTATCTTTTAATTAAAAGGTATGCAGTAAGCAAAAATTCCTAAAGAATATACTAAAAAGCTTCTCAAAAAAGTAAGTCTAGCAAGGTCCAAGGATAAAGGGTAAATAATTTTAAAATTCAATAACATATTCAAAAAGATTTTTTATATTATTTTAAGTACATCTATTAGTGCTTTTTAAAAGCATATTTTGTTGGTTGTACTATTAGTCATAAAATATGAAGGAAAAAGTTTGTGATAATTTTTTATTTTGGTATTCAATATCCACCTGCAAGAGATTCCCGGCTCTATCAATCAAGTTCATTTGATCTACTGCAGATGAAAGATTAGGTCAATACAGGAAACAAGTTGTTTTGAAAACTTGTGATTAACAATTTCTATTCTCATTTATCTATGAATAAATGATCAGAAGCTATTTTATATTCTAATACCTATTATGCCCAAAGCACTATGTTAAGGGTTTATATATCTACACCTCCTATTTCATCCTCATAAGAGCCCGATGAGGTAGGACCTGGTGTCCTAATCCTACCAATAATGAATGCACCAGTACCACAGCTAATAAGAAGCAAAGCCAGCAGTCAAGGTCAGTTCTGTCGTGAGTACAAAACCCATGTTCTCTCTTCCTTTCTGCCTTATTATCTTCCCACCAGTTACCCATGTTCTTTCTTCCTTTCTGCCTTATTATCTTCCCACCAGTTATCCTGAAAACTGCAGGTTTTTAAAAAATTTTGAAATATAAAGCATGGTTCATTTGTGAAATTTCAAAACCCATACAGAAAAGCCATACTTATCATCCTTATTATCATGCTTTTGTCATCCTGGTCAAGTTACCTAACAGCTCTGAGCCTGGTTTTCTCATTTATTGAAGGAGAATAAAAATAGGACATGCTGCATAGGAATATCATGAGAATTTATAAGATAATGCATTTAAAGAGCATAAGGTGTGCCCTACACAATGTAAACACACAGCAGAATGACCAATCATCACTATTTCCAGCAGAGAAAATAATGGTTGTTCCTCCTGCTAAACTTTTAAAGCCCTTGAAAGTATGGACACTCTTCATTTGTAATAGTGAAAAAGTGTCAACAACCTAGTGGAAAATTTTTTTTTTCTTTTAATAAAATACTATACAGGAGTTACTGCATAAAATAATGTGCAGGCACATCTCAAAATATAATACATGAAACACCAAGTTGCAAAATAATAACTGAATCAAAGAAAATCTCCAGCATACCTACAGATGCTATTTTTTCACATATTTTTAACCACAAAAGTTGCTAAGAAAAGCAGTAGCATACAGGTTAATTAATGTTAAAAATCTCCCTTTTTGACTGAAACTTACCTATTACTTAAACAAGGTAGCCACACCAAAAAATTATCAATTATAAATCACAAATGGTCCATCATTTCACAGAATGTTAATCTAAAAAAAATTTCAATTCTTACAATTCACAATAAACTAACAACAGACTGAGTACAGGTCATTATAGACTGAATTTTAAAAAAAGAAAAACACAATAATTAGGCAGTAGTTTTAAACAGCCCGAAGTTTTACATAATATCTAATTATAACACACAAATCTGAATTCAAAAAGCATGAGTGTATTAACTACAGCACAGACCAAGAATGTGAAATTCACAATGCATAATTAAAACAATCTATGAACATCCCCCACAAAAAAAAATAAATATCCTTGGGATAAGAATAAATTATATTTATAGGAAGATTACAGCACAAAAATCTACATCATCACAAATCTTTTTTTAAGCAACTAACAGAAGTAGCAGTTCAAAATGTGGATCTCAAGAAGATTCATTTGATGTGAACCCCAAGAAGGAATATATCTGCTAAGAAAGATTCCTCATGATCAATAAAAGGCCCAAGTTTTATGCATAAGCAGAGCCTAGTGGTCATTTGTGGAAAGGATTGTCACAGAATCTAATACAAGAAGAACCTCACACTGAATTCTTGGTTTCTAAGCCCTTCTAGTTTAAAAAAGGATGAGCAAACTATTAAAAGGGAATTCCTGGTTTTATCTTTTGACCAATGAACAAAGACCTGCCCTGTCCAATCAGAACTACTCCATAGTGACCAATTAGAATGCACAGTGCCAACCAAAATGATTTCAAGATTTGGACCAATCGGAAGTGTCTAAATTTGGATACCTCATATACATAAAATGGACCTAACTGGGTGAAAACTTTGGATGTAAAAGACTGCCTCCCCTTTCTCTGGGTGGCATACAATTTAGGTTACTACGTAAATCAATGTCTCCAGGGATGCAATTCCTTTTGCTCAAATAAATGCTTTGTATTATTTATTTTAATGTAAAATTAATTTACAAAAATATACTTTTTAAAACAAAATGGAGCTTTTTAATTATGAAAAATAAGAAAGTATAAACATATTCTTGTAAAACAAGCAGATAGCTATTTTTATCCTCTAACAATAAATCAAACTATTAATTATCTAAATTTTGATTTATTTAGATGTTCAAGTAAAAATTTTGCAGCCTATTTTTTCATAGAATTTATAAGAAGGCATTTTAAAGAAAAAAATACAAATTTTAGATTGCTAAGCATTTTTCTGGTAAAACATAAAATGTGAATTTTTTCTTAAGCATGAAAAAGATGTAATGAGTTTCTGTATTTTTTTTAATTCAATGCAGCCAACAACTGTTATTACTTTCCTGTACAGTTGTTGCTCATATATATTTTGACATTAAAGTCTAAAATATTGTTACCCATTTCTAATGTCTGTACCATGTCTATGTACATCTAGGAAAAATATCTAAGATTTTTTTTTTTTTTTTTAATTCAAAGAAGGCTGGAGAATTAAGGTTTAGATTTCAAATTTTTTGTTGTTGTTGTCAGTTCTCACCTACGGATATTTTTTCCACTGATTTTTTTCAAGGAGCGAGAGGGAAACGGAAAGAGGAGGAGGGAGAGAAACACAGATGTGAGAGGGACACACTGACTGGTTGCCTCCTGCATGTGCCCCAACCGGGGCCAGGGATTGAACCTGCAACCCAGTTACATGTCCCTGACCGGAATCAAACTCAAGACTCTTTGGTGCACACACTGACCCTCTAACCACTGAGCAACACTACCCAAGGCTAGATTTCAAACTTGTGAAAAGCCCTCAAATAGCCTTTTTTTTTTTTTTTTTCCTTTATTGATGTGAGAGAGAGAGGAAGGGAGAGTGAGAGATAGATAGAAACATGAGAGAGAACATCAATCGGCCGCCTCCTGCATGCCCCTCATTGGGGATTTGACCCACAACCTGGGCATGTACTCTGACCAGGAATCAAACTGGCAACCTCCTGGTGCATGGGTCGACGCTCAACCACTGAGCCACACCGGCAGAGCTCAGTCTTATAATAAGTTATAATAGATATACTACAATCATAATGCTGCTTTGCACACCATCATCCTCCCCATTTCCCTCTGTTTCCCTCCTTTCCTGTCCCCCAAAACATTCACCTAGAGGGCTCTCTGCCTTGTGCCAAGGATAAAACAGTTGCATGAAAGGTACGTGAAAAGCATTAAACTGGGGATGATGAGAAAGGCACCTCTTCAGTAACTGATACCTGTTCCTTCCTGCCTTGAGCACTAAGGAGGATCTTCCTGTAAGGATCACAGGACACACCTAGGACTCCCAAGGAAGGACAGCTGGTTGGACTGGCTTTCCGCTTGGAGGCTTCCAGGGCACTAGGGAGACTTCCAGGTGAAGGTGGTAAGAAACTGGTTCTTCCAGCCTAGTTCTAACCTCACCCTCAAGAGGTAGAACTTTAAAAGGGATCTTTTTTTTATTTAACGTATTTTATTTTTTCCATCACCACTTATCCTCTCTATGCCCTCTTCCACCGCCCCCAATTACCACATTGTTGTCCATGTTCCATGACTTCTGTCTCTTTTTTGCTCGATTCCCCACCTCCAAAAAAAGAGATCTTGAGATGCATTGTTCAGACAGCCCCACCCAGTCCAACCCAGAGAAAAGGAGCAGGAATTCATGGAATATGACCCAGGCAAGGGCAAAAACAATTCCTTTGACTGCAGAGTCAACTGTATCAGATAAAGGGGTGGGAGACTTCACCCCAGGAAAGCACATCCAGCATCACATTCCTTTCAACAGTTACATGAAATGTTTAATGTTAAAGCACTGGCCACAAAGAAATATTTTTATTTGGTACACCAAGGAATGTACTAAACATCATTTAGATGCTATTTGATTAGGAGACTCTCAGATTACATAATCCACAATTTTATTTTAAACGTCATATTATAGCACCTTTGAAACTTGCAATTACTTTCTGTAATTCTGGTAAGGACCACAAGTGAAAACAGACAGTAAAGTCTGAAAATAACCTACTTTCTCCTTCTATGATCTAACTATCACGAATGCAGAGCTACCATTTACAGCCATAATCAAAGAAGAAAGGAAAGGTTACAACAGGTAATCTGGCTATGGTGCAGCTACTGAGTTATTTACTGCTCATTTTAACGTTATTTTAATTCTCATTTTCAAGGACTCATAGTCATAATGGGAATAACACACCTTTCAATTTATGAAAACTAGCACATCTTATTTAAAGCTTAAGTCAAATGTTTCTTATCTGAAGTTACTGTTATGGCTCCCAAAAGGATTCTGTTCTGGCACAGATGTAACATGTTTTTTAATTTGTCTTTATTGTTGAAAGTATTACAGATGCCCCCCCCCCCCCCCAGTAACACTCTCCTCCCCACTCCTCCCCCACCCCGCCTTCACCTCACTGTTGTCTGTGTTCATTGGTTATGCATATATACATATAAATTCTCTGGTTTATCTCTTCCTGTCCTCCTCCCCCCTTCCCTCTGAAGTTCATCAGTCTGTTCCCTGCTTCCATGTCTCTGAATCTATTTTGTTCGTCAGCTTATTTTGTTCATTATATAACATATTTGCCAATGATACATCGGATAAGGGGTTATTTCCCAAAATATATAAAGCATTCATACAACTCTACAAAATGAAGACAGACAATTTAATTAAAAACTGGGCAGAGGACTTGAATAGACACTGCTCCAAAGAGGACATACAAATGGCCCAGAGACATATGAAAAAATGCTCAACATCACTAATCACTAGAGTGATGCAAATTAACACGACTATGAGGTATCAGATCACACCTGCCAGGATGGCTGCCATCAACAAATCATCAAACAACAAGTGCTGGCAAGGGAGTGGAGAAAAGGGGACCCTAGTACAAAAACTAGTTCTACATTCCTGAGAAATATTCCCATTCTTATACAGGCATATCTCATTTTATTGCTTTAAGCTTTTTCTGCTTTACAGATGTTGCATGTTTTACAAATTGAAGGCAAGACCCTCAACCAATAAGAATCTGACTCACTTTATTGGGGTGGTCTGGAACTGAACTGCAATATCTCCAAGGTATGACTGTATATATAATCAACATTTTGTAGAACATTTATTAAATGAATGGTTCAGAAAGCCGGTTCTGGAGTCAGATTTACTCCAATGAAAAATTCAGTTCACTATCCTTAGGATCCTAGGAAAATTAACCTAAGTAAGATTTAGTTTCCTCGTAAGAAAATGGATGAATATTACCTACTTTGCAGGGCCATCGTGAGAATTAGATAACCCATGGAAAATTATAAACCAAACTAGCAACTAGCTGCTTAATAAATGGCACTATTACTATTGATGTCATAATAAATACTAGACACTGCTTTGGCCATGAGGGATGCCATGGTAGACAAATCAGGGCCTCTGCCCTCAGTGTGGCTGCTCTAATGGAAGGTACTGAAATTAAGCCTTGTACATTGCCGTGTCCTCTCTTGCAAATACAACCAGGATTCCACACTGTAATAACTAAAGACACCTAAGAGTACGAGGACAGAGCAGATGGGGAAGGGGGCCCAGCAGGAATGCCAGCCTCCAGCCCGTGCAAGAAATCTGTAATAGCTTTTAGCACATCAGTAACAGCCAAACTTGAACAGCCTCATGACTCCCAGCAGAGACACAAGTGTTAGCTTTCAGTGACAAAAAAATTCTACCTCAACCCTAGAGAAAAACCACAAGTATTTTAGGTGTAACTTTGAGAAATAGATAAAAGCTCTCTCTGCTGTAAGTTGGCTCTTCTTAGACTCTGCAGTTGCCTCATGCTACCAATGACCAGCCAATCCGGTAGGGCTACTCTTTAGAGTTCTTGTCTCTAGTGGATGTGGTTTTATACTGTACTGTTACCATCATTTTACATCTGTCTCCTACACCACACTTCCTCTACACTCATAAAAAAAAGAAAGAAAATAAAAGAAACGGACTCAAAATGAGTCAGCCATGCTAAGCCCCACAATACCCAGACAGACTGCAGTTTGGGCCTCTCCCTGGAAAAGTAGCATTGACCTAGTCAGTATAGAATTATCTGGTCAACACTAGTCAGGCAATCTGCAGGATAGCACCAACTTCACTCCCCAAGGAAAGAGACCTTGCCTGAAACAATCCACTCTTCGCTGGAATAACTTCCTAGCCCAGCCTCCCCCTGCCTAGGAAAGTCTTCCATTGCGTACAACTCCTCAGAGCTCCTTTCTATTTGCTCAATGGGATGCTGCCCGATTCTTTAACCAGTGAACAAAGCCAATTAGATCTTCAAATTTACTTGGCTGAATTTTGTTTTCTAATACTACCTCCTTCACACCTAACACAGTGACCAGTAAGTAATATCAAGTAGGTACTCACTAGATGTCTGTTGAATTATTAATTTATAGCAAGCACTGTGCCAGGAAGTAGAAATACAAACAGAAGCATGGTCCCTGCCAAAGAACAAATAAAGTAGTGGGGAGACAGAGTCAGCAACGGGAATATGAGAACAGCACACATGGAAGAATGTGATGGCAGGTGTGGAGGAAAGGTATGGGTAGGAATACCCCGAGAGAATAAAGAGAAGGGAGCTCCCCCCAATTAAATGGGCAAAAGCTAAAGAGCTCCAGTTAAAGTTGGAAACAGACCCTGGGAAAAGTGTTCAAGAGAAACGGCATGACCAAAGAGTTTTAAAAGAGAAGAAAAGGTTGGTGGAATAGGTAAATTCATAGAAGTCAAGTTCAGGGAAAAAAAAAAAAAAAAAAAAAACACTGAAAATGTAATTGTCCAAAATAACTAAATTCCTCCAAATCAAAAACTTACAACTTATCATGGAAGTTCTTACCTCGCTGAGATTCCTTTTCCTGACCCTGGGATCTCTGGCACAGGCCGATGTCTTAGCAGGAAAGATCGAGACGGCCTGGAAACCAACTTGCTACGGCTTCTCATAGGTGCCAAGAAGGGTGACGATGGAACGTACAAATCATTTACAACCATTTCTCCTTGAAATTTAAAAGTGGACAGTGGTGATCTTTCTAACAAACCATTCGTTCCATTTCCAGAGCTGGCTTCTGACACTGAACAGCCGCTGGAAGAAAGACACTCAGGGTCGACATCGGGAAGCTTGCTCACATTTTCTAAGATCAAATCAACTTTTTCTGTTTGTTGTTCTTCAGCTGCACAATCCAGAGTCGTCTTTGTCACCAAAGATGCTATTTTAGTATTTTCACTACTAAATAAAGAATCTTGAACAGAACCTACATGCAGGTGTGGTTCTTCTGAAATGGGAAGGGTGTGTTTAGGAAGTGACAGTTCATCATCTGATTTAAGAGACTGGCTATTTTCCACACTAGTGTCATCTTGATCAAGATTTTTTGTAACAGTCTCCAACTGCGCTGGGCTTGCTGTCTGAACAGCACGTGAATCGGAAAGTTCTATGCAGGCATCCTGTCCAGAAGGTGGAGCATGGTGATCCCTGGAAGTCTCATCATCCTTCTTTGTTTTGTGAATATTTGCATATACTGGGATATCTGTCATCTTTGACAAGAGTAGCTGTAGCTGCTTGATGATCCTCCTCCGGTGCCCTGTAGGTAATATTCCAATCTTGTGCAGCACGCCGTCATTTATTGCCGCACAGTCCTTCACGGTATTAAAGCCCAGCTCACGGAAGTGAGAGAGATACTGCTCCAAATTAATGCTCATTAGGAAATCTTTGATATCAACATTTACTTCACTGACTGAGGACATAATGGTGGCTTCATTACTGAGCTGCTTCATAAAAAGCAGTACAAGATACATACACGGGAGGGTGCGCTTCTGTGTGGCTTCTTCCTCTCTCACTGGCAACAGAAAAATGTCTCAAAATGGTCCTTTCTCCATGATGAATGCTTTATGTGCTTAAGCCTAGAAAAATAAATTAATTAATTAGGGCATTTTCGTTATTAAAACTTAGTTTTACATTATAAACTTTCTCTGAAGATACACAACAGAAATGAGGAGAATCTCTTTCACCGTCTGAGGGTTTGGAATCTTTGTCATTGCTATGATGCCCTGGAGAGTCAGCTCCCAGTAAAGCACGAAGGTTCAGGACAGAAATGCTATGGTAGTATCAAATGATGACTTTCAACAAGTTGAAAATGCCTCTCCCACGTTATTCAGGCCTGGCCGGTGTGGCTCAGTGGTTGAGCACTGACCCATGCACTAAGAGGTCGCCAGTTCGATTCCCGGTCAGGGCACATGCCCAGAATGTGGGCCAGATCCCCAGTGGGGGGCACGCAGGAGGTTGCCAATCGATGTTCTTTCTCATCAATGTTTCCATCTCTCTCTCTCCCTCTCCTGTCCTCTCTAAACAACAAAGAAAAATAATTTTTTTTAAATGTTATTCAACTCATCAGTGAAGGAACTGGTAAGACGGTAAGGTTAGTTCCAACGGCATTTGTGGAACAGGTTCATACAGCCATCAGAAAGGGCTTTTGTGTGTGTGTTAGAGTAAGACTGGTAGGTCAGTTAAAAAAAAAAAAAAGAACTGGTTAATGTCCTACAGGGCAATAAAACCAAAGCCTTTAGAGCTGTCTTTCTAAAGGAGAGAAATCTATAAGCCCAGTTCTGAGCTGTAACCAAACATTAAATAGAAAGTGGAGCACAATGATTAGAATTAATATGCCGAGGATGGGCCTATTAAACAGGGCCCCAACAAGGCGCTGAAGGAACATGTTGTACATTCTTCTGATTACCAATTTTAGATAATTTTTCTTAACAACAACTGGACACGAACAACTTTCCCCTTTGTACTCTTTCCTCAAAGGCTCTCTTAAAAAGCACAGTTAGGACATATTTCTCAGGTCAATAACTTTCATTTCAAAAAAGCATTAGCATTGTAGGCACAATACTGACATGCACGATAAAACTAGTTGAATGATTTGTCAATGCTTAAATACATTATATAACAGGAAATAAGTTAATATGAAAGTAAAACTAAAACGTTGAAAGGTCACATTTTCCTTCATACACAGCAGATTCACAGAGGTTCATTTTTCTCCCAAACAACATTAGTAATTTTTTAAGTCGATTTATCCAGGTTCGGTTTTTATAGCTGTGTTCACTTTGTGAAAACACGTATGTACAAATTTCTGAATATCAGGCTTCAATAAAAATAAAAAAGTACAGAATATGCAAAACACCCTTATACTGAAGGAATAAATTGCAAAACACCCAAACAAGGTTAATTTATCTGAACAAGTATTGATACACTGTTTCTGGAAATCAAGTCTCAAAATAGTTCTCCAAAAGGTACCACTCGGATGCTGCATGTCTTACAGGCCAACAGCCCAGAGACGACTGCCCGAACTATTTAAACTATCAGCCAATATTGACCAGCAGGTATAGGACAAGAGGGGAAGCCCATCTCACTGCAGGAGCAGAGAAATAAAAATACAAACAAGAAGTGAAAGGCAGGAAATGCCTTTATCAATAAGGTATCCCTTAGTCACACTCCAAACGACAAAATGTCAGTAAGAAAAAGGAGAAAGTCAAACCTCACACCACATGCAAACCTAGATCACAGATACATCACTCTAGTTATACCCAATTATCTTGTAAATGAACACATGATCTAATTTCTTGGCAGATCACAAAACGGGAATAATTACTGCCAGATCTGCAGGCACCTTGATGTTGGGCCTGAACTGTGAGAAAATCAATGTCTGTTTTTAAGCCAGGCAGTGTGGTATTTTTGTTGCAGCAGCCCAAACTGACTGATACACTCCTTCATCGTTGCTGCCTTCACCCCAGGTTCAGACCTTCATTATATTATCTTGTCTGAATTACTGCAACACCCTGAACAAATCCCTCAGCTCAGTGTCCATGTATCAGTGAAATACTGAAAATCCAAATTTGGCATATCATGCCACACCCTCAACAGGATAAAGTCTAAGCTTCTTATGGTGCCATAAACCCAGTCCAGTCTTGGTCTAACAATATATAGCAAATACTACAGATGTAAACAGCAATTATGTGCAAGATACCATAACTCATATATATTTCCTGCAAGGTAGGTGTTCCTATGTACTAACTCCAGGCTCAAGTTCAACCTGTGCCAGTCTACCTACACTCCTCACTCTCTCTAGCTCATTGTTAATCATCGTTCCCAAGGCAAACAACTGTTTAATAGCCTCTATCTTTTGTGGATGCTGTATCTGCTTGCAAATCTACACATCTTGCAAAATCCTATGTACTATTTAAAATTCTGATTAGGGCCCTGGCTGGTGTTGCGCAGTGGTTAGAGTGTCAGCCCATGCACTGAAGGTTCTTCAGTTCGATTCCCTGTCAAGGACACATACCTGGGGGAGGCAACCAATTAACCTGTCTCTCTCACATTAATGTTTTTCTCTCTCTCCCCCTCCCTTCCTCCCTTCCATTCTCTCTAGAAATCAATAGAAAAAATATCCTCAGGTGAACATTAACAAAAAAAATGAATAAATAAAATTCTGAATAGGCAGGTATTATATGTATTACCTCCTCTGTGAAGGCTTCCCATTGACCGTAAATAGAATCAGTCCCTTTTCAACGTATTAGTCCTTGAAACTCGCCAAGTGCTTGGGACACGTAAGAGCTAGGAGAGAGGTTGGCAGGGATGGCGGAATTGGCTGAGAGACCCTCTTTGTTAGTTTCTGGTGTGCACGTGTGTTTTAATACACAAAGCCCTTTCCTTCCCTACGGCAGATACATATACTTCCTGGGTGACTGACTCAGGGATGGATACACCAAATGTTCTACCCAAAATGCCTCCCTCCACTATTAGTCAACATGCTGAATACGACTAATGAAACCGATTCCTTTTCGTGACCCAGGAGAGGCTCCCTACCATGGGCCTTACAATCCTCTGTGTACTTGAACATCAGCTCACCCTCCAATCACCTAACTTTGTAACTGTCTTACCACCAAGGGAACTCACAGATCCACTTCTTTGTTTAGAGGCTTCTAGCCCACATGCACTCATCAGAAGCAAAGAGATGGACACGTCTAACTATGAAAGTACTATATTCAAACTCCTTAATGGGAACTCGGAGCGCATGGGGTTCTGACCTCTACCTGGGCACAATGGTTCTGCAGGTACTGGGTGTGGGCAAGTGCTGATAACAGGCCCGGGAATTTGCATTTGTACCACAGACCAAAGATAACTGGGATGTGCCACAAAACTTGGTGATTACAGTTTTAAATTCCTCATGCTCCCCAATATGCTTTATACCATCTCCCCTGAGCCTAAGCTTATCCCTCTCCTCCCCTCGAACAGAATGTCCCTCTGAGCACATTGCCCACGAGTCTGGAGTCAGATGCAGATCCTACCTCCCCCACAGGCTGGCAGTGGAAACACAGGCACACGTCTGTAGGTCAGTTTCCTTAACCATAAAATGGAAACATCAAAGGCACCTCGGCACTGGTGAAGATTAAATGAGATAATCCATCTGTAAGTGTTAAAATAGTGCTTAGGATATGGTAAGTGCCTAGCAAACATTCACTTCCATCATTATAATTATTTCTTTTCATCACTACAGTCATTATCTTCCCACAGCTGAAACCGGTTCCGTTGTCTGAAGTCTAACTCAAATGCTAATTCCTTCCCATGGTTTCTACTCAACGAGAAATAAACTCTCTTCTTTATATTCCCACAGCATTCACTTCTTACAGCATTAAATTACACGTTAGTCATTCAGTAGTAGCCTACAGAAGTGGATAATACAATGCAAAAGCCAAGAATCTGGAGTTAAACAACCTGGGCCAAATCCCAATTCCTCCACATAAGTTTTGTGAGCTTGGGCAAGTATTTTACCTTTCAGTGACTCAGTTTCCTCATCAAGAAAATGAGAGTCATAATAGTACCTATTGCCAGGCCGGTGTGGCTCGGTGGCTGAATTGGCCCATGCACCAAGAGGTCGCTGGTTCAATTCCCGGTCAGGGCACATGCCCAGGTTGTGGGCCCAATCCCCAGTGGGGGGCATGCAGGAGGCGGCCAACTGATGTTCTCTCTCATCAATGTTTCTCTCTCTCTCTCCCTCTCCCTTCTTCTCTCTAAAAATCAATAAAGAAAAAACAATTGTTTTAAATACTACTACTACTTACTTCACTGGGTTGTTGTAAAGGATTTAGTACACCAACTGCACACAACAAATAGTAGGTAACTTGGCCATTATAATTACTTTTTGTTATCCCATTTTAAACTAATGACTGTGCCAAGATGATGACCAGCCCATATAAACTGCCCGCTAAATTCTAGTCAAATTACTGGTTTATAAACTCAGTGCATGATGGACATGCAGAACATGTTTAGAGAGCGTGTAAAGAGCTGGCATGACAGATGTGGTTGTGCATCTGCCTGTCCTATCCTGACCCACTTCCAAGAGCAAAGAGAAGTAACACTGAGGAGCACCTGCTACATGCCTGGCTTGTAACACCATTTAATAAACATGACCTTATCTTTTTTTTTAATCCTCACCCAAGGATGCTTTTCATTTTATCTTCACATAGGGCAGGAGAGGGGGAGGGAGGGGGGAGAGAAAGACGGAAGGGGAGAGAAAGAAACATCGATGTGAGAGAGACACATCAACTGGTTGCCTCACGCACGACCTTAACCAGGGTCAGGGATGAACCGCAACTGAGGTACATACCCTTGACCAGAATCAAACCCACGACTCTTTGGTCTATAGGTCAGCACTCTAACTGCTGAGCCAAACAAGCCAGGGCTGACCTTATTATCTTATTGATCTCTACCTCTGAACTACATCCTGAAGCAACTACATCTCAGGACCTGCTCTGCTCACATTCTAGTCCCTGCTGTTATCTTATCTATCTTAAACCCTTGCGATAGCCTCCAGACCCATAGCCCTGATTCTTTCCCAACATCCTACCCCACCTCCCCACAGTATATTCTCAATACAGCAGCCAGATGATATCTTTTCTAATCAAAGGCAGTCCTGAGACTTCCCAGCTTTCCCCCTCCATCACTCAATCGCCACCAAGTTGGCCTCAGTCCTATTCCCACCTCACAACCTTATCTCTTGTCCTTCCATCGCCTTCAAATCTGCTTCCCTACATACACCCACAACTCATGGCTTAGTAAGTCTCTGACAACGGGGCCCTTTAGAAAGGCCTTCCCTGATCCCCCTATTGCATAAGCATGCCTGTGCCCCACGGCCCCTTACCCTGCTTTATCTGTACTCATGGCATTTGTTCCTACCTGCCGTCTGTGCACTGCTGCACGAGGGCAGGGTTCTTGTATGTCATTTAATGCTGCAGCTCTTCAGTTCAAACACTGTCAGGCATATAGCCGGTGCTCAATAGATGTTTGCTGAATGACTTCTTCCCAGCTTTGGGGAGATTTCAGACAAAAAGTGGAAAGTATACATAGTTTTAAAGTTTTGCCTATTTAGGGCAACAAATTTGTAAGGAGCAGAGACGGGATTCAAATACAGATTTCTCCAGTCCATCTCTCCACAAAAAGAGACCAAATCAGGAGTTAGGGGTTGGCAGGAGGGCAGCTGAAAACATATGAACCACCCAGAGGGTTTTTAAAAACTCATGGGTTGGCACAGCTTCCCTGTCCCAACGCCTCAAGGAAAACCACCACAAAGATCCACTGCGCACTCCCACCCTTCAGCCATTACCAGTGGAGTTTTGTCATTTTCCGTAGCTGAGCTAGAGAAAAAAAATTTTCTTGAAAACCGTGGGTCCCTTCATTAAACCAGGTCATTAATTATCACTTCTGGACTCACCTGCACCTGACTCGAGTACCTTATGGGAAGGAAAAATGAACATAATACAATTGAACTTAGTTGTAAGTTTAATCCATTTTTTCAAAGCACACCATTTTAAAATCAGAAACATAACCTTAGAGTCTCTAGAAACTGCAAATGTGTTAAAATAATAGGTTTAACAATCACAGAGTCACAGGACTGAAAGGAACCTCAGAAAATACCAAATAAAAAGAAATTAAATTGCCACATGCATAGTGAAACTTTTTAATGGTGTCAATACAAGTCTTACAGATTGTAAGAACAAGAAGAGTTGACTGTATTCCAGAACAGAAAGAGAAGGTTCTCGGTAGAGCGGAACCATTTCCCAGGGGACACCCAGAATTGTGTAAGAAAACGCTTTTGCTGACCATAATGGCTGAGTGGCACCAGGAGATAGGAAAGGCGATTTCTGACATCCTACGAGTACAGTTTTTACTCCTCCAATTCTCTACAACTAATCACCCCCACAGGGTGCCTGGCACTATAGTAAAAGAAGTGCCCCTGCCTTTAAATTGCTATTAAGCTTATTGTGGAGAAACAGCTAACCATTAAAAAAAAAAAAAAAAAAAATTAGGGGGCTCCATTTGGAATAACTTGCTGAACTAGTTAGTTCAGGCTACAGACCTTAACAGAATTCCAGCGTTGCTTCAGTACAGAATACAGTCACAAGAAACAGGTATCATGGTATTTGCATATCAAGCAAACTCACTGTTTAGTACCAAGATAATAACTCCAAGTATTCATAAAGACAATTAGTTCTACTTTGTTCCCCACAGCCTCGCAGAAGAGGAAGTGGTTTTGAGAAAACATGCTTGTTGTTACATCACTCCATCCCATTGTAAAGAGCAGACTGCCAAAGGGCACAGGTCCTAACTTACTGTTCTGGCCTGCGTGCTCAGTCCCCAGAACACAGTGACCTGGTCCTTCTGCAAGCCTCTTCTCTACCGTCCATTCACCGACATTAGCCTGGGGCAACACTACCCCCACTAAACCCCTTCCAGCACAGGTGGGGAACAGCCAGCCCACAGGCCTTATAAGGCTCTGGAATTCAATACCAGGTAACATCATGTGCCTCACCAAATTAACCTGACCAAATTCAGCAGGGTAATTTTTAAGTTGATAATTTTGTATGGCCCATGAATGATGTTATAAATACCCAAATGGCCCTTGGCAGAAAAAAGGCTCCCCACCCTGCTTACAGGAAGCCCAGTTTCCTCAATCTGGCCATCACTCTTCACTGTGGTCACCTCTACTTCCTGTGCTCTGACCTCCACTGCCTCCAAGCTGCCTACCTTGACCACTGCTACCAACCATCAAAAACACATCCATCCTCTTCCATTCTCCCTCAGATTTTCATTGTTAATAATAATGAGTATGTGTGGAGTGTGTGTAGGATCGCATACTCCTCACAGCTGCCTTAGGAGGAAAGTCTCATGCCCAAAGTCACACAGCAGATAAAGAGTAGAGCCAGAATTCTAAGTCTCACTCTACCACCTGTGCTGCCTAAGAGTTATACAATTTATTTAACAGTGGAGGGGCATCAAGGACTTCGTGTTTTCCCCCCTCTATCTAGCTAAGCACTTACAGTCACTACAGAAATGCTACTTAAATATACCATGCCTTGCAAGCCCAAGTTTTATACACCTTTCCAATTTGATTGTGGGTATGTGTCCATTTAAGTGGTTAAATATGGAAGCCTACATTCATTTACATTTAATTGTTTAAGATGTAAGAGCCCATGACAATTTAGGCAGAACATCTTTGAAATTACTGTATAAAGAAATGTTAACATAGAACTTAGTTTATTAAAATTTATTTTGCATCTATCATTGGAGAAAGGCAGCTTCTGAAGAATTATGTAGGACAACTGATAAAGTAAGTACAACAGTGTGAAGCCAAAATGAAATAATCAAATACGGACAAAGAATTCACTGCCCACCAGGGCAGTCCATGGTGAGGGGGTGAAAAAATACTGCTTGCTTAGAACAGGAAGTATTGAAGCATTGTTCCAAAAGGTAATTAACCATGGTTGTAAAGGTTTAACTTAAAATGTGATGCAAAAAGAGACAGGGAGGGGAAGCAACCCAAGTGTTGACAGATAAATGGATAAACAAAATGTGTTACATATACACAACTAAATACCATGCATCCTTAAACAGCAAGGAAATTCTGCAATATGCTACCAACATGGATGAACCTTGAGGACATTATGCTAAATAACCTAGGCCAATCTAAAAAGGACAAATACCGTTTGACTCTACTTACGTGAGATACATAAATTAGTCAAATTCATAGAAGTAGAAAGCAGGATGGTGCTTACCAGGGGGTGGGGGTGGAGGGGCAGGTGTTTAATGGGCATAGCGGTTCACTTCTGCAAGATGAAAACGTTATGGAGATATGTCTCACAACAATGTAAATATACATAACACTACTGAACTATACACTTAAAAATAGTTGAGTACTATGTGATGTTTTTGTTTTTCTGTCACAAAAAGAAGGAGGTAGAAAGACTGACTAGAAGATTCAGCCAGCTTTTCAGCTTTTATTCAAATGGAACTCCCTGTACATAGCTTGGCTTTTCTCCCCCCTTTGAGGGCAATTCAAGTCTTACAAGCGTGTACCACCACATCCATGAATCTTCCCAACCTGTTTCATTCCCCCTTAATTCCTCATTAATTCTACCTAGGCAGCAGAACAGGGAGCACAGTGCTCTGGCCAGGCTGCCTGAATTCCAATTGGCCCTTCCCCACTTGTCAACCATGCAACTTGATTATGTCATTTAACTTGCTGAGATCTCTGTTTTCTTGTCTTTAAAATGAGGATAATATATCTACTAGGATTTCTATTAGGATTAAACAAGTAAATTATGTAAGGTATGTATAACAAACAGTACCTGACACAAATTATAAA